ATTGAAGTTGTGCTCTCTTTCTGTACAAATTCAAAGTTTTATTATTATAGGGTAAAGGCTAAATTTTAGTAAGGTTAAGCTTAGTAAAATTTCTAGTGGTCTGTTATTACAGAGATCTTAAAGATCTATTTGTGGCTGTAATGTGAAATAGTCTGTAATTGTTGTTAACAATTAGAAGGTATCTATTCTACAAAGTTTTCTGAATTAGAAACTACTGGAATAAAGGGAAGAGGATATAGTTCGCTTATGTGTAATGGTGCTGGAATAGCCCCAGTCTTCTCACACTGATATTAAGAGACCTCTACTCCTCACTCCCAGTCTAGTGAAATCATAGCTGGGAAAAGGCATATTTTTTTAATAACAGAAAAATCTTATCAGTGCTTTTAAAGAACTCATGTGGTGGTGGATTTCTTTTAAATTTTTGCTTACCATCCTAACTGTTTTATATTTTGAGTTTCTTATCTGTCTCTCAAAATGAACTAATGTAAATGCATTGAAGTTCAGCATGTATACTGTTGGCTGGAAATAAATTAAGATCAACCTACAGATTCACAGCTTCTGCCATTTGTGGCTGGTTACTGTGTGGATGAAAAGGAGTTGGCTGAATTGCTGACTGGATAAGGCTTGATACAGTTGGAGGATAATAGTAAAAGAAAATTACTTTCCTAGTCTGTTGAACATGCACCTCAGTGACACCATATGGGAATTTTTTTGATCTTGTAGTTCTTTTGGCTTAATGACTGTTTCTATATACATAAAAAAAACCACTAAAGCGTAAGAATTCATCACTTTTCGAGAAGGATTTTGGTCCCTTTTTCCAGTCAGTCATAGACACATTTTTTGGTACTGTTACCTTTGTAAAGGGCTATGGCCATGTGCTGTGTATAGGATTAAATCTGTGAGCAGCTTGCAAAAGGTAACCAGTGCTGAACACGATCAGTTTAGTGGCTTGGCTGCCACGTTCCGGATGAGTTTTTCAGTTGGCTTCCAGTTGTGCTTCAATGTCATGGTTTTGCCTGTTCTTGATGGGGGGAGGTTTGCAACTCACTATGATCTGCTGCTGAGTGATTAACTTTATGCTGCCTAGCAGCAGTTAAACAAAGTGATCAGAGCGTAACCAGATACCTGTATGGACATTGTGTTCCAGGCAGTACTGTGAAGGACACTGAACTCCATAGTGTTCCCAGCCTTTGTCCTACAAAGTCACAAATGCTTAAATTCCGTTAGCATTGTCACAAGGGTGAATTGTTGTTGTTTTCTATTACTTTTTTTTTTTTAGCTAAGTGTTGGAATGTTTTTATGGTGCGCCTTTTTGTTTAAGAAAATGTGCACTTTAATTATTATTTAATTAGGGTATTGTGCACTTAATTTAAGACAGTTATTATTAGTATATACAGTAATGATAATATCTGTATTAACTTATGTGATAGTCACAGTTGTAGCTTCAGAGTGATTGAAGTCTTTCAAGCTAGTTCCTTGATGTGGATAATTAATTCTGAAGTTTGGATTTATGTTAAATTATTTGTGAATTCAAGAGGAACCATCATGGAAAGTTTTAAAATTTGAATAATAGGGATAAAACAATAGTTTGAACTATGTGCTATTTTCAAATCCTCCTATTTTTCTTATGGTCTTGGGCAAGTTGTTTCTAGTTTTCCACTGACTTGTTTGTAGAGTAGTTTCTCATATGATGGGAGGTCTCTGAAGTACAATTGCCATAGTTAAGACAGTTTAGCTCCTTTGAAATGTAATTACTCTAAATCTTCTGAACTGCATTCTTCTAAAGTGAATTTGATACTTTGTTGTTTCCAAATCATTTGGAAAATGGCAACTGAAAGTGTTACCCAGAAGAAGCAGTAATCATATTTTCATTTTCCATTTTGAATACTGCAGCTGGACATAAACCCCTGAGTACAATTTTTGGGGGGAAGAGGGAGAGGGTTTTGCTTTGCATTGTACAAATTAAAATGTTAACATTAACTTTAGGGATTGCAGAGTTGGATATTTATTCGTGAGGGAGAAAAGCTTAATCTCGAAGACCAAGTTTTTATAATGGAGGGATGTTCTCAATAACTGCTGATATGCATGAGGACCCTTGCATTTGGATGCTGCCTACAGCAACCTGAAATACAGAGTCACAGCCTTTTAAGGTACGGAGTTCCCTTTCAGTTCTCCTTTGCTATATTTTTTGCTCAGAGTAGTCTATGGTCTTGGTCTGTGTCATTTGCTCCCCACCCTCAGACAAACCCCCACACAGCAGGACCTTCAAGTTAGTTGACCTGTTCCCAAGCCAGTGTTTCTGTGGACCATATGAAAATGGTTACAGACAGAGACCTTGCTTCTGCTTGGCTATTACCAGCATGGCTGGTCTTTTGCCTCAGACCAGAGCTATGTGGTTTGTTGTTGTTTGGATTTGGTTTTCAAACTTAATCATGCTTGCTTCACTTCAGTAAAAAAATGTATTGATATAGGATCTGTCAGAAACGGATTTATAAAAACTTCCATGCTGCGTAATGCTGTATAATTTCTTGAAACGTGTTCAGAGTTCACTAGAGTTTTCCTTCAACATGAAATAGAAAAACTTCCCTGTCTCAAGTGTTTCATAAGAAAATAGGTCTTTAGGGAGTGAACAGTATACTTACCTTTCACACACACCATTTGATATTATTTATTGAATTCTTACAAGTGGGGTGGGCAAATGGCTAATAAAGTACCTATGGTTGGTTTTTTTTTTTTTTGGACACGTTATTGAATAATCAGAATTGTGTGTTTCATCAGATTGCATTGGCTGACTTGGTATTGAAGTTTTGAATATATTTCTTTCTTTCTCAAAATATCTTGAGATTACTATTGAATGGGAAATATTGTTAGCTGAAACACCACTTTTGGAAAGTGCTTTAATCAGCTATTATGTCTGCATAATAAGAACAGTTAACTTTGGAAAAGCATTCATATAGCTTTGCATTTCTGCCAGAGCAAGTGAATGGTATTTAAAGGAAGCTGTGTTTATGATTCCAGAGCTGGTGGTAAAAAAAAGAAAATTAATAAATTTTGTCAGATCTAGAATATTATATCTTTGGAGTTCTTTATCCTTGACACCTATTTATTTTAGTTAAGTATTTAGCTATTCCTATTTTTGCTCATTGGTCACAAAACCTAGCGTTCTAGAACTCTCAACTCAGTAAGTCTGCCTTCTTTTTCCATATGCCATAATACCTTAAGTTGTTGGATTGTTTGGTTTTTGGGTTTTTGTTTTAACATCTTTTGTAATTTCTTGTTTGCATCTTAAAAGCCTGCCTGGAGTGGCTGCCTGTCAAGCTCTGACGGGCTGGCAGTGGCGGTGGTGCTGAGCAATGCAGTTGAAGGCAGCATGTGCCAAGCCCGATCTCTACAGTGACCTTCGATCTGTGAAGGTCTGAGTAACTGGATGCAATGCTTTGCATCGGTAGAACTAGTTCAAGGGTAGCTGTATCAGTGGGGTCCTGTGCCCAGTTAAGCAGATGTGCCAGAAGAAGTATATAATGCAGTGCTGTAGTGACTACATTGCCTTGGGATTCTAGCTGATAGTTGTGCATGGGATTGTTCTGTGCTGCATAGCTTAAACATGACCATAGTTTAAAAGCCATGATCAGTTTTAAATGTCCAGAGATGGTTTTGGTTCTGCAGACAATATAATCTTGTCTTCACGGTCTCAGTAAGTGATCTCAGTTATGGAGCTAATACTTTGCAGTGTATGTAAATCTTCTGCGTAGATAGCAGAACCATGTATAAGAGGGAATGGGCAGTTATTATTTTCTCTTCAAAATTTGGACTAATTAATGAAATCAAAAGCAATTTCTTTTAGATAAAGTATGATCTTATTACCTGTGAAGATACACATTTCTTGGTTCTGCATCTTGAGCTGAGCTCTTCTAAATGACTAATTCATGAAAATAAAAAACTGCTCAGCAGAGAAAAAAGAAGGAATCTGAATTATCGTGTCAGTAGATCCTGGTGAATTCTGCCTAGGAAGCAGACACACCCGCTTCTGAAGTTATTCTTGAAATACTTGGTGAACAGCTCTCGTGAGCTGTTAATGCAGTATTTGGCCTGATTTTAGTAATGGTAACTTTTTAGGCTTTCTTTAGCCTAGAAAAGTTTTGGGTGGTGTCCCTCTCTCACCCCAAGTACAGATTTGTAAGTTATGTTTCAAAATACTGTGATCTGAGGCTATTTCATTTCAACTTTCAGAGATGAATAAAAGTTTATTAAGAGGAGGGTCCAATCTTATGTTGGCTGTTAAGATTTTCATCTGAATGTCTGAATGGGTGAATGTTTTGGGGGTAGTTGCAAAGCTTGTTGTAAGTTGCTGTCCTTCCCATTTCTCTGTAGAAAACTTATCTGTGCAGAATGAGAATATATTTATCTTTGCCAGTTCCAAAATAATTTATATCACCTTAAAGTAAACCATTCCTTCAGCTTCAGCTGCAGAAGGCTCTGGGGAAAAGAGGCCCTTCAAGCCTGTAGCCTAAACATGCTTGGTCTTGCTTCCTTAGAAATCATTCTTGTGATTTCCAAATTCCAAAACACACTGGAACACTTTATCTGCTTGGGAATTTTCCAGGCATGGGATACTAGTGTGGTGTTTTCACAGTAGTAGGCACTATCCTGGAATTTCAGGAAGTCCTCAGAATGTCCTCAGAATGTCCTCCAAAATTCTCTGTAGATATATTTGCAGTTATTTGCAGATATTATCTCTCTTTTCAGAGAGAAATAGATACATGTTAACAAAGTTTCTTTACACAGAAGTTTTGGGTTGGGATTTATAAAGTCTTTGTTAAAAGAAAACTTGCTTTTATTATCGAAGTATAATTTATGCATAAAAACAGATTGGCTTTTCAGCTTCTTGATCCAGACAAAATTAAAATATTTCATTAAACTTGTACTGATGGGTGTAATATAAGTTAGAGCTAAACATACTCTTCTCTTTTTTTTTTCTTTTTGTGTATATGTGTGTACAGAAAAGATGAAAAGGAGTATGCACTGAAGCAAATTGAAGGTACAGGGATTTCCATGTCGGCCTGTAGAGAGATTGCAGTAAGTGTATATAAATGAAAGTATTTTTACTGACATTATTACTCAACAGATATTTTATTTTCCTCGCATTAAGTAACATAAAGATTATCTAAATGTTTTCTATAAAGTGTGCAAACATGAAAGTTTATTCAGATGTGAGCTTTTTTTAAAATGCTTTCTAAGTCGTAATTTTCTTTTTAGTGGAAAGGAGTGTTTTTTCCAGGTAATAGTAGGGCCTCTTTCTGGTATAATTTGTTTCTTCTGCTTTGATATGTTCAGAGGGAAATAAATGTGAACTTTTAAATGAAGTCTTATTTTAAAAAGGAATATTTTTAAAATGACTTGAAGGAAAAAGGTTCTGAAAGATTACAACTACCATTACAAGTCCACTTGCTAAAAATATAATTTATTTCAGACTAATGGCAGCTTGTTCTTCTTTAGCACCCGAGAACAGTTTGTTCTCCTCATTTCTTATTTGTTTTGCTAAGTAGAGAGAAATGTCATAGCAAAATAAAAACCAACTTTAATTGTATTTTTATTACATGTGTCTTAGGAGAAAAAATTGATTCAAAAATTTTGCGCTTTGAAACACATTACTGCCTATCATTTCTTCAAATTTGGTAAAAATTAAGTGTTTGTATATGAAGGTAGAATTTGATCTTTAAATGTTTTATTTTACGTCTGAAAATGTGCATTACTGTCAAAATGCTGGTACCAAGTAAAATTTTGCAAGAATTTGTTGCATTGCAAAAGACAGGCACTTGCTTGATTAAATATTTACCTTGTCTTAATGTTGTTGCTGTGCTGCCAGCTGTTGAAATGTATGTTAGGATTGTGCCTAAAGCTTTTTATAATCTAGCAGTGTTGCATTGAAACACAGCATTCAGGTGTGCAATGCAATTTGAGGCATTAGAAACGCGTGATGTCCATGAACTGAACAAACCACTGTATTGTGTTCAATGTAGTGTCCAGGGTAATTCTGTGTGAAGAGACTTAACAGATAAAACTGCTATCCTTTTGAAGTGCTTATCACTGTAAGGTCAAGGTCACTTGTGGATTTCAGAGGTGGCTGCATTGCTATCAGTCACTTTACACAGGATTTACCCAGTGACCTTTCTTGCTAATATTTCTGCCTTTGGAGGAAATAAGAAATCCCCTTTTAACATCAGTACTAGGTTGTATTCTTGCTGCTATAAAATCGGTTTTGACAGCATTGAGGGGTTTTTGTTTCTTGGATCGTTGTTCTTTGTTTTAAATTGTGCTCCTATGCAGATAATGTATGGAATAGTCTGAAGGAAACTTTCCTGTTGTCATGACAGTGGTGTGATATGAAGCTGGTTCTGTCATACCTGGACACAACAATGTAAAGAAGTAGAGTGTGTCCAATTATTTAAAGTTGATGATACATAACTATTTTGGTCTTGTTTTTCTTTTTTTTTTAAACTATTTTTTAAACTTAGTAAAGCTCTGTACAAAGCCCAGTACAGCCTGTGAATTTTGATTTCTATTGTGTAAGTTACTTGATTACTTTCAATGGTTCATCTGGTAATTCTTGGATTATACTTTACTCTTCTTCAGACATTATTGTGAAACTCTGTAACCTGAGCTAATGGAGCAAATCACCATTTACCTCAGTAAAATTTCAGGTTGGTCAAATCTTAGAAATGTGAAAAAGGTAAAGCTGAAATAGTTGAAAAAGAAATACGAACTTTTTGTCATATAGAAACAAGCCAGAATCAAATGCGTTTTCCATACAGAGAAGCAGATTTCTAATTAATGCATCAATAGCTTATCTTGTATTTAAAGGCTTAGATAGGTGACAAAGAGGGTAATGTTTACTGATTAAATAAAGATTTTCAGCCTGGAAAGAAACCGTTTAAAAAATGTCATGAGTAGTTCTCTTAACATTCAACCCACCCCTACCCTCTCCAGCAGCAAAACAAATCCAAACCCTGCCTTGGAAGCCGAGAACATGAAAGGGACACCGGTGTGCGTTCAGAATATTTTAATAATTCTGTAAACTGGAGACACTTTACAATATGCTCAAGAAATATATTGCTGAACTAAAAAGTGTTCAGTTTTGCAGTCCAAGACACTCAAAATAATATCTACTGACTAACTTTCCCTAAGACAGAAGGCTCCTCTCTTCTGACATTGCAAATTCAGTTGGTCTGTCTTTCCTTAGGACTTCGAGAACCATGAAGCTCCTCTTACCACCATTCATATGAGCTTTTCCTGAAAGAAGGCATATGGCAGTGAAAACATCATTTAGGCAGTGGTTCCTGGGGCAAGTGATTGTTACTTTATTTCAGCTGTAGGGTGATACTTGCTGAAGGATTCCATATTTCAGCCGATTCTGTTGTCTTGAATATGAAAGTATTAGAAGGTATTCTTATACATCAAAAGATGTGTGTGGGGAAAAAAAGCTAATTTGTTCCCTGTAACTCAAGTTTATTCTGAAGATAACTGAAATGGCAACTATTTCTGTGTTCCTTTTATGAGGCAGATTATTGCTTGGCTTAAGCAACAGCATGTTTTGAAGAACAGTGGTGTAAAATATGAATGAGAGTTATGAAATGTAGAGTTTCATTTTTAGATGATTATTTATTTAATGAAAATGACATCTCTTTCAGCTCAAGACTTGAATTAACTCATTTTGGAACTTGAGGTTGGGGGAAAGGAAGACTTTTATTCAGTTATGCTGCTTTTGCATTTTATGTTTTGTTCCTTACCTTGTCTAAGTAGCTTTTCTAGAACAAGTGGAGACAGAAGCAGCAGACCAGAGTGGTATTATTTATTAGGGCTGGTTTTTTTCCTGTGAAGTATCCTGATCTTCATTTGTTCTCTTAGAAACAAATAACTATAACTTTAAAAGTCTGCAAACAGCTAATGGTAATGGAATTTTGTATTTCTTTATCAAAAAAACACCAGGGAAATACAGCTTTATCTGAGATTTCTTGTCCCAAAGGTTTCACTTCCTGTGAGAGTATTATCCAAATTAATTCTACTACTTTGCTTTTCATCATTAAGAGACTATAGACTTCTAATTGTGGATTTTGGGAAAAACTAATTCAGAATAAAGAAAAATAATAAGCTTTTTCTTAATCAGTGCCATTCACTAAGTACTTAATAAATGTCTGGATACGTAGCCTGTCCTTGAGCATGGAAGAACTTCAGCGCAATTGTCGTTACTGGCTTATTTAGCTGATATGATGCAGGTCAGAATCCTAAGTGACTGGAGCATGTCAAAAAGCAGGATCACAGCCCGAACTTTATGAAAGCAGACTTGAACCTCATCTTGGAAGAATTCTGTTGAGATACAGCCCTGGAGAGAAGAGGATACAGGAAAACATGTTGGTATTCAAGGATCAGATTCAAGAAAGCTCCATCCCAAGAAGTAGGAAAGCAAGCAAGGGCAACAGGAGGCCTGAATGGATGAACAAGGAGCTCCTTATTGAACTTGGACATAAAAAGGAATCAGGAATTCCTTTTGGAAGCAGGGATTGGTAATACAAGAGAAGTATAGAATTGCTGTTTGATCTTGCAAGAATAGGGGTTAGAAAAGCCAAGGCCGATGTGGAGTTGAGTCTGGCAAGGGACCTGAAGGGCAACAAGAAAGGATTCTATAAGTACATGAATATCAAAAGGAAGACTGGGGAAAATATGAGCCTGCTGCTGAATGGGTACAATTGGTATGGAAAAGGCCAAAGTACTCAATAACTTCTTCTGCCTCATTCTTTACCAGTAAGGCCAGGTTCAGAAATCTCATGCTCTTGAGACCAGAGAAAAAGTTGAAGGAAAATTTACCTTTAGTGGAGGAGGTCCGGGTTAGGAAGTGTCCAAACTGGACATACACAAGTCTGTGGTACCTGATGAGCTGTGCCTACAAGTGCTGAGGCAGCTGCTTGGATTTCATTTTGAGACCATCCTCAGTTATCTTAGAAAGATAATAGGTGAATGGAAGAGAGCAAATGTCACTCCTGTTTCCAAGGAGGATCAAGGGAACTACAAGTTGATCAGCTACATCTTAGTCACTGGGAGGGTGATGAAGAAAATATCCTGGTGGAAACGATTTCCAAACCCACGCAGGACAAGACAGTGATTGGGCGTAGTCAGCCCAATCGAAGGGAAAATCATCCATAACCAATCTGTTAGTCTTCTACGATGAGATACCTGGCATGGGGAATGAGGTGAATGCTGTAGATTGTTTATCTCGACTCTACTGAGGTTTCTGAGGCTGTCACCCGTAGCATTCTTGCAGACAAGCTAACACAGCCTGTAGACAAAGATGACTACTACTAAAGGTTTCATGTGAACCAGTGACTTGAATTAAGTCCTAGATGCTGTTTGGTTAACTCCTGGTCCCTTCCAGCTTTTTACCCACCCTTGCCAATGAGAACTTCCCCTCTTCAAGGATAAATTACTAACTGTAGCCATCTGCTCTGTAAATAGTAATCTTAATTCTAAAATTCATTTGATTTTTCTATAATAGGGTGTTTTTATAGATAATTTTTTTTTTTCTGTAGAGGAAGAAAATGAGACTAGGCTGTTGCAGATGATTTAAATGGGAGAACTAGAGCCAAAAACCAGTGTCATTGCTAACCTAGCCTTTTTTAAAGAATGCCCTAAGTTCTGCAGTTTTGCCCTGCGTGAATGTTGGGTCTGGGACTTGTAACCATTTTAGTTGCCACATCCTGTGCCTATGTGTACTGTTTTTTAGTGAAGGCTGCTCCTTCTGGGAGACCTTTAAGTGTTGCCAGTATGCTGTGGGACACTAGTGGGAGCATTAGTTGACCTTTGTGTTCATACTTGCATCTATGGGTACAGGCTAAAATAAATTTAGACTGTAATGTTAAACGAGTTGCTGAAAGCTTATTTGAACAATTTAGAATGCACAAATTATTCTCAGGCCTTTTGCCTACTGATGCAGTGTATGTTACAAACTGCTAGAGGGTACAAATATTTTGGCATCCTCAGTTTCTGAGAGTGGGCGAAGTTTTAGAAGCCTTGCAGGTTAAATG